TATGAGTAATGTTTAGGGTGTGAACTACTAACAGACTACTCTGTAAGTCTTTATAGGAGCTCCTAATTCAAGGCCAGGATAGCAAAAACTCTAAAAAAATAACAATTATAATTCTCAGCTGTGTCTTATCCACATTAATTTTGTGCTCCACTCGAAGAGGCTAACTCTTGAGAAATGACGAATTCATATTCGTCATTTGTCTAGAAATGACGAATTCATATTCGTCATATTCGTCTAGAGTAAAGACAAATACACGGACAAATATGACAAAAGATATGATAACAGAATGGATAGAAAGATTTTTATCACTTAAATATATAATCTAAAACAATCTTCACATAAATCTAATTTCTACAACTCAATTTAACACAAACAAATCAATCTTGAAACAAGTTTACGTCAGTCGCGTGCAAGCAGTACTCATTAAGCTTCCAAACTACTTGTATCAGGGTCGATTATTCTATTAAATCCAGCAGTAGAGCTATTACCGGGGCGCGAAACTCCGGCCAATTTGAGATCCCACATTAACTCTATAATGAGAAAATTATTCAGCCCTCAGTCTAAAACGAACTCACGTCTTGCGTTTTCATCATCTTTAAGGCCTCTGAACAAATTACGTGCATCTTCTATAGAACTATTTTGATTTTTGTGCTATGAATTTTAAAGTCCAAATTGATTTGTAGGAAAAATGAAGTTCGGTAGATAATTTATATCGATATTAATAATACCGATTATGGTGATCGATTGCGTTCTATTGCAAAACATTTTTATTGTATTATGTTCCATTGTTCGAAAGTGGGTGGCCGGGTGTTCTTATTTTGAAATTACTTTATGCCTGCTTTTGTTTTTTTTTTAATATAATAATGTTATTGTTGATTGAAGTGGCGTTCAAACAATGATTGTAGTACAAGTTTTAATCAAAAATGAAAATCTCATCCGAAATTATTGTTGTTAATGGAAATTATTATTGTTGTTGTTGTTATATTACTTTTTATCGAGTATCTTCAATATTTTCGAATAATAGTAGTCGACTTTTACAAACACAAAAATTTCTTTAAAATTAAACGTCATATCTTTTGCCAGACGCTCCGCATTTAATTATCATATATTTTTAATTTCGCTAGAATTAAAATATTTGCTTAATTTAAATATAGTGTGTAGATATCCAAGTGAAACCTGCACAGCATTGACCTCAGACCTCCACATGCAACTAACCGGCTGTCAAAAAACCGTGCCATTGCCACCAGGGTAACAAAAAACAACCAGAGTGCTTTTTAAAATAAATTGTCAAACCTGTTGAACAGCCTCTGAGACATTTTTTCCTCTAAAAATTATAAAAACCATTGAGAATAGGCCGCAAACTTCAGACGTTTCGTAAAAAAGTTTCTTATAATTAAAAAAAAATATTTAAAATAACGTTCCAATTTCAAATTTCAATTCAGTGTTCAACTACATTGTTGATCACAGCAATCCTATCAACAATCATTTAATTGAATGTTACTCAACATTTGTATGTTTCTCATAATTAAGAACATAGAAATTACATTTTAAACCTATGCAAGAAGGCATACAAATTATACACTGCAATGTAATCAATCAAACGAGGAAGAAGTAAAACATAACCTCAAAATTTGCATTAAACTTCTGTTAGCCCTAGTTACAATCAGGCATACATAATGGCGCACGCATTTTCAATGATATAATTTACAAAGTCGTGAGGCATGCATCCAATTATAATTGGTATAGATACACATCAAGTTACACAATCCAATATAAACTGACTGTCGAATGTTTGGAAAGATCATAGAAAGCAAGACCAAGATATATTGGTTTCTTTAACTGGATGTGTAGTCGTCTGTGCATGGTTGCCGTGAGAAAGCGTTGCATAATGTAATAGAAAGAATGTTTCCACTCATTTCCTCAATACTTGTCAAACAGCGGATGCTTTGATTGACGCCAGTGAACACAGGTAGCTTTAATCTTCGTTTGTTTATAACATAATGATTGGTTAGAAATTATGAGGCATAGATTAATTAGAAATTAATGGCGGCAAACGCCAGCGAGTAAAATCCTATCAAAGTAGATTTTGTTATTTTATGAATTACGAAAACCATTTCTTAGCTACAACTTATCTTTAGTCTCGTTATTATTAGGTTGAATTCTGGTGTATAGGTTTAAAAGGGTACAAACCAATTCACACACATTCACACATTCACACATACATACACATTACACACTGAGAGTACAACATAACCTTTAGCATGAACATGAAGGATGTTATAAAATTGTAATCGTATTAGTAGATAGGTCTATAACTTCAGCCAATCACTATCTATGGTACCAAAGCATCAATATTTAGCTCCAATTCAGGTAATGTACAACCTTGGTTACCATTAATGAAAACAACAATATACAATAGAGGAAATATATTCATCATTTAAATTAAAACTTGACCACTATGTTAATTCTGAGTTTAAATACAAAATAGCGGCTAGTTTAACCATGTTAATGACCCTTTAAGAGGTAGTTTGAATAAATTCATAAATTGGCTGTGATTTTGAATGGGATTTTGACGCAATTAAATCAGAATTGAATGAAATTTGATGGGAACATTTGACAGACACACCAAATTACCATAATAATACCTCTTTATACAAGAATTCAATTATGTTTCTGATACTTCATACCCACATGAGTATGCTATTGTTTCTACTGCTCTTTTTATAAAAATAATTTCATTTGAAACTTTAACATAACTTTCAATTAAGACGGTGACTCTATTGGATAGAAGATTACCTCTCTGCGATATCACTAAAATACACAAACCTGACATGACATGACATGTGTAAACAACATTTTGAGTAATCAAATGAGGAATAACAAAAAAAATGTAACAAATAATAATGACAGAAAATTCATTACAGTATTTGAAAATCGAACATAAAAAGCAAAGATTTTAAGCAAATATTCCTCCTAAGACTTTCTCACTACCATAAATCTAAGCCCCAACCACTACATAATTAATAAATTTATTGCCCAAAAGTAAATACACGCCCATTATTATAATGTAAATAGTCAAAATTTCTCCCATGCGGGTCATCAGCTGACCGACACCTAATGTTATATAAGATTTTATCTGATGTTATTGTTATGTTAGCGAAAGTGCCGTCGACCAGGTGGCTTACTCGTGTTGCCGACTAATTTCCAATTTCTCCACAAGACCGGTTCTAGGTGTAAACTATTAACTATTGTAGCAGAGATTATTGATTTTGTTTCACTAATAATTAAACGCCTAAGGCTTGGCTCGTGGTAGAAGCTTGTCGGTGATTTTATCAATTTGTAGATCTGATGGCTGATGAAGAATTTGATAATGATTGTTCTGGTGAAATTGTTGGTGTTATTATGGGCGCTATTGCTTTGAAGTCAGTTGAAAGCTGAGCTTATACAAAGCCTTAAAATGAACATGAAAGAAAGTAACAATAATTCACAAAAGACTTCTATAGTGAC